CGGCAGGAAATGGCGACGGCAGGGACTGTGTGGAGAGGACCGCCCCGAACACGAGGAGAGAATGAGAGAGAGAGGGGTGTGCCGCGCTGCCTTTTTTATGGGGTTTTCTGCCCTCCTGATTGGCTGGTTTTGTATTTCCGGGCTTTTCAGCCAATCAGACGGGACCTAGTCCCGCCCCTGCTTCTGGCCACGGCTCCTCCCCCTAGCAACTGCTCCCCCACACAGAGGGTTCGGTGCCACATGGAGACGCCATTTTAAGTCAGTTTTGTCGGCTGACTCACAGGACATTTCATGTTTGTGTAAGGAAATGCCTGGTCCTTCACAGGGGTCCACAGCTCTTCACAGAATAGCACTGTGGGTGAACTGCAAACCAGAGGACACATTTGCTCTCTGTTACCCCCCCTACACCCTCCCAAGTGAGATGAGGGATAAGGAAGGGGAGACTGAAAGGTTGGAATCTGAAACTGGAACAAGTTTATTGTAACACAGAAAAGGGAGTAGTAACACATGGGGTGAAGAACAGCTATCTAAACTTATAAACCAATACGCTTATATGAAGATATACAAAATCAATTTTGAGAATTGCAGGAATAGGTGGGTGAGGGTCCCTTGTGATAAGGCTGACTTAGGAGAGGGGTCCACAGCTCTTTACAGCACCCGACATACGTGGGATTCTGCAGAACGCGTGGCGAGTTCCTCTTACAGGTGTCAGCAACTTATGGGGTCCACTTAAACCCTTAGAGGTTGGAAAAGCCTGTGAGCAGCAGGATGTGGATGTAGAGCTTCAGGCCTCTGAAGGTGGAAGTTGTCCTGCTGGGTTTGCCTCACCATCCACCTGAACAGCTGCAGTGCAGCTCTCTGGCCGTGGCGTGCTGCTGGTAGAGCTGGGCTCCTCCTGCTCAGGGCTCAGGTAGATGACTGAGCTGCCTTGCTCCACTGCAAAAATGATCTCAGTGCAGATGTTCATATCTGAGGTATCTGTCAGCTGGAACCTGCAGGACTGGGAGGAGGGCAGCACCGTGAGCTGGCAGTGCTGCGACTGAGGCAGGAGAGGCCAGGCTGATCTCACCAGCTCCTGGACCCAGCAGGCAGTTTTCTCCACATCTAAGTATGAGTGTGTGCAGAGGGTCCGTAGGAGGCTCGAGCACTTCTCCTCTGGCAGCTTGTCCCCGGGCTGGTGGAGAACGCACATTTCGCCCAGCAGCTGCTTCCTCCAACACGTGCACTCCAGCAGCACAAGGATGCTAGAGCGCCTTGCTGGCAGCTGCCCCGAAGTGTCCAGCTCCAGGCTGAAAGAGTGCCCAGGAGGCGGCTGCAGGAAGACGGGCAGGCGGTACATGATGTTGTTCTCCTCAACACTCCAGACTTCATCAGCGTTGTCAAGCCCAAAGGCAGGCTGCATCTGAGGCATGCAGGTCCTCATGCACAGCACGCTGCAGACATCAAGGAGGTCACCCACCAGCTTCTTCAGCACCTTGCATGCGTCGGGCAGGCAAGACCCATCAACATGGTGTGCACCGTAGACATCTTCCTCCTCCTCCTCCTCCTCGTCCTCCTCCTCCTCGCTACTGGAGCTGTGCTGCTCACTGGAGCTGTCACGGCGCAGCTTCCTTTTTCTGATACGCCAGCAGAGCGCAGCAATCAGGACCAGACACACTCCTACATTCCACCAAAGCAGCCAGTGCTTCCACATAGAGCCCAGTGTGTTTTCCTCAATGCTCTCGATCTCCTGCTGCAGCCGAATCATCTCCTGACGCAGAAACTCCTCTCGCTGCTGCATCTGCTCATCCACAGCCACTGGTGCCCGGTGGTCCCGGAACACCCCATTGTGGAAGGCCAGCACAGCCAGGACAAGTGCAATGAATGCCTCCATGGCCTGTGGCAGGAGGGAGAAAAGGGGGCTGAGCAGGTCTGGCTGGGAGGGAGCCCGAGGTTGGGTGAGCAAGGCAGGAGCTGCCTGGATGCGGGGGCTGGTGGGAGAGGGGGCAAAGGAGGTGGGAGAGAGCAAGGGCAGGTTTTGGGAGCACTGCTTGTGTGTGTCCCTTTCTGCAGGGCTGCTCTCCAGCCACTTCTCTCCCAGTTTACACTTGTGCCCAGCACTACTACATCCCAGGTGCAGATTCCTGCATGTGGTCTTGTTAGATTTCACACCATCAATGCAGTTAGTTAATTAATCACTTTCTTTTTATGTGTTGATGCATTGCTTTGTTTTGATGCAAAGCACCTCAGTTATATAAAGACAAATGTTTAGTTAGAATATTTGTATCTGATAATATTTGTATCGTTGTTGCGTATTCCACATTCAAACCAGCAGCCTTTACCAGCACCAGATAAAATGTTCAGAGAGGCAAGTCAAAACAAGGGGTTAGACCTCTGCAAATAATGCCTGCCAAGTCTGATGCCAAATGAACACAAAACAATGTGATCTAATATGGCCCCAAAATAAACATGCCATCTGACACTGAGGCTACAGTTCCAAAATAAGCCTCAGGCTTGCAGCACTTGTAGATCTAAATTGCTGCAGAAACTGTTGACCAGAGCTCTGCTCAGACTATGACTGACAGTGGTAATTCAACCAAGAATTTTCATGGGAGTGCTGTTACAGGATGAATACCTAGATGTAATATTGAAAGTATCTAAAATGGCAAATTAAAGAGTAGAATGAAGTCTGATGACTTGACGTTAATTCCTCTAAGCATTTAAATGAGCAGACAGTAGTCCAATGCAGGAAATCTTCCCAGGCAATATCATTCAGTATTCTCTGTTGTGTTTTGTGCATGTAGACCTTTATTTATCAGTAAAGAAAATGTTAAATTGAAAATGCTGTCCTTTCTCTTGAGAAAGCAAATATAAATACAATTATACTAATCTTTTAAGGCCAGGAATATACATTGTACATGTTATAGGTGGTTGTTTTGTTTTACAGAACAGATCAGGCTTTGAAAAGCATCATCTGCCTTTCTCTTTCATTAATATAAAATATTTTTGTTACCTTTAAAAATGTAAGATGAAATTCTCAGTCTCCTAAATCTCATCTGGATTTTGTGCAAGTGCTTGGATCCCACACCTACTTTTAGCAAGATCATACTGAATTAATAAGGAACGCAAGAGATACGCTCTCCAGCCACATGAGCAGAAATGTGTTTTGGAAGGGGATGCTTTAAAATATCACTGTTTTGCCATATATTTCTCAGACTATCACAGAATATTATAAAGGAGTTAGCATTTAGAGAAAAAGAAAGTATCTCCCTTTTGCTGCATGTGTGGCTTCACACTGCTATATTAAATTGACCACTTTTTAGCAGGATCTCTTGAGCTGTCTACAAATCAAGATGTAAAATACACAGTAGTGTGTCTTGTTATTTGACAGCCAAAGCATGAAGATACTTTCACTTTGGATATTGTCCTTTCTGTCATATTATGGGATGGGAGGCCATTAAATTGCTATCCAGAAACACTGAATCCGTGTTTTCCTAATGTCTGCCACTCTGCCCTGGTCCCACAGATGCTGACAAGGAGTTCAGGGATGATAAGGGCTATTGGCAGATTTGGCTTGCTGTGCCAGGTCTCCACATGCGATAGGAGTGCTGTTTCTGTCCCTTGAAACTTCTGACTTGGTATAAAAGGCGGAGGATTACACAGCCTATGAAGTATGGCATAGAGGCAGCATCCATTACTTTATAATATAAATCACTGCGTGGTGGGAACTCTGTGATCCAAATTATCAAGATTGCTTATGGAAGAGGCCTCTCCGGTATAGGGGATGGTACAGCAGTAGACAGCATTCGCCAAGTTCCACCATTTCCAGCAGGGAATGTTGGTTCTTCCATGAGCAGCATGAAATACCATCGTGCGGGTTAATTACACTGTTTTTTCCATTAGCCCTGCTTTCCCAGAGATGAGGTTTCCCATTTTCCAGTATGTTGTACTTCTCATTTGTAACAAACGCTACAGAACTGTAGCACATCATTCTGAATGGGAGCATGTGCACGGGAATCAGTAACTGCAGAAGGTATAAATATTTACATTAATTTTAATATGAAAAATGCCAATATACAGATTCAGAATTGCTTGCTGTGAAATACAAGTCTATTGTTACTAAAAGCAGCTGACATAGTCAAAGTGAAACATTTTATTCTTGTTAAATTATTTTACTTTTTGAGAATATGTTTTGGTTTTAAAAATTTAATACACATTTCTGATTCAGAACAAATATATTTCACTTTAAGAAAAATATGAGGAGACAAAAAAATATTTCCTGTCCTCCTGCAGTTTTGATGTTCTTCTGGCATGACATTTTATTCACCACTGCATAACTACACCTATCATGGATGTGCTGAATTCAAATTTATGGAATTGCACAGGTATAAAACTGAATCACTCTAGTGATTAATTAAACCCACTGAATTACAATGAAAGCCAAACTTAGGACTATGGGAAGGTCTTTTGTTCAGGAATGCTGGCAGAAGCACATTTAAAGTAAAGAAAGGTTTCATCTTCTAAGTGCATTATTTGAAATGATCATGTCCCACCCATAGAGGAGAAAGCACTTAATATTTCAAGTTATCAGTGGCAATGCTCATAAGTTAAGTAATGATACATCCAGACTGAAATATACTTCCATCCCTATTCACTCACGTACCCTGTTCCTTATGACATGTTATGTGACAATGTTCTGAATATTACATTCAGTGCTGCCAAGCAAGGAATACATTTACCCAAGTAGTTATTGTTATAAGTCCTAGGCAGATTTTTGTTGGTGGGGTTTTACTTTTGTGGGTCGTGGGGTTTTTTTACAGATCTCTGCAATATTATTAATTTCTTTCTACAGGAGGTAATTGCCTTCTAGTGTTGCTATTTTATTCACTGAAAGCTGATACTTCCTTCTGTGTTAGCATCAGTTCATTGTGCAGAATTCTTTGTCGTGCTTTAATTAACCTAGCATGATGATCTCAGTACAGACCCAAATAACATCAAACCCAAATTAACATCAAACACTCATATGGAATTGTTCTATGAGATAGCCTGGGTGATGAACATATACCATATGGTAATCTTTAAATATAAAACCCACCAAATATCATATTTAATGTGACTATCCTGGCATACCCCTAAGTACTGTAAAAATAAAAAATAATTCTGAGCATTGCTCGATTCAAAGGATCCCAAAATACTTTATACAAACTATCTATCTTTCTAAGATCGGCTCACCGACCACTTTTAAACAGCCACTTCTGCAGTGAAATGCAGCAGCTATTGCAGTAAAGCACAGCAAATTGGCACAGCAATTTTAGGGCAGGTAATGAAGACAAATGGTATATCTTGTTTAAACTGCAGGGGCAGAAGGTAATCACCCAAATTTGGAGCTGGCTGAGATATCAGACCTAACAACTCCCTTGCAGAAAAGCGTCAGTCATGATTTTATCGCTGGGTAACATTAAATAGAACATGAGTAAATCCTGGTATTTAACACCGCATGAGTAAACAAGTTGGATTCTGGAGGACAGGAGTTTCTGCTTACATTTATGTGTGCAATAAAATCAGTCGTGTCTTTGCTGTACCCCATTGCTTGTTAGATTAAAATTTAGAATTGATTTTATGGGTATGATCTAAAGTCCACTGAAATCAGTAGAAAAACATTGACTGGCTTTGGATTGGGTCTTCTGTCAGCTCCAGTTTGTTGGAGGGGTAATGTACTCTGGTTTATTACCTCATAACAATGTGTTGTATATTGAAATATGGAAATGGCAGATTTGTGAGACCAACATATCTGATCAAGGCAGGAGCTTTTTCTTTAATGATAGTCATTGTACTTTCCAAGCATCTTGTTGTGCCAGCTGCTTGGCTGGAATATTCCTGGTGTTTTTGGGTTGCTGCTGGCTAATGCATGTAGCTCTCTGCAACCCATGTATTGTTAGGCTGAGGATCCAACTTTAAAAGTTTTTGCTCTTTCAAACCTCAGTAAAAAGAGAGAAATGTGATTCATTCTGTGTAGGCTTTTAATTACCCTTTGGAGCTGTTCCTTTGTACTCACAAAGGAAGGAATCACCATTGCTCCCTGTTCTAACTCAGCTGCTCACTTAACTACTCAGTGTGACAACGGGTAGATGGAGCCCTCAGATCTTTCAGCAGCAAAAGAGAGGGTTCACTTCGCTTTACTTTACTATGTAAGCTTACACTATCTCACTTTGCATTTTTACTTGCATTTTCATGATGCAATAGTAACACTACAGCTATTGTTGGCAGTTTATCATCTAATATTTCACACATTTCTTCTATTCTGATTAAATCATGAGCACAATGCCCTTTTTTTCTTTTTGAAAATATGTACTCCCTTTCTAAATATGCTGACCTCCAGGAACAAAAGGAAAAATATCAACAGCAAACTTAGCAATTAGAAAACTAGCATTTGTAGCATGGTATAGCCCACTTTATGGAGATTCATGTTTATCTTACTGTTACAGATCATTGGAGTCATCTGCCTTAGCATCCTTCAATTTTCCTGAAGCAGCTGTGATATTTCAGCATATTTTTAAACAAGTCTTTCTAATTGGTACAGCCACCTTCCTGCCTGTCTCTGAACAACCAAGAGAGGAACAAAATTTGATGGCAATTTATGTCTCTTTTGCATCTTAACTCACCTCTAATTATAACTGGAGGGAAAAGAAGATGGTAAAATAATCTCAACAAATTACTTTCACAATTACAGTTGTCCTCCTGAAGCAGAGTATCTTCTCAGTAGGGGGAAAAAGACCTCCTTGTCTTCTCTGAGATTAGCCTCATTAAAGCTGCTTTCCTGATTATTCAGGATTTCTGTAAGTACTTTCAACTTCCTTAAACAGTTGAAGATCCCTGTAGCTGTCAAGAGTCTGA